AACAGATCCAACGTGTGATTAGCCGCGTATCTGAGATCTCGAGGGTCGAACTTACGTAGAGCTGCGCATTGCACTTCGTTGTAAAAATCTACGGGGCCCGTGCTCTGCTTGTTTATTAGATAATACATGATGAACGGGAAGTCCGCTGAAACACACGGGAATTCGGCTTAAACGATCTTAAAAGCACTTGTCGCTACCTCGCCCGTCTTCAAATGACGGATAGGCCGATTTTACGTACTGTTCTTCTCCATATTCGTAAGTAAAATGCTTTGCGACGCGGAGGGTGCTATCTCGGCGACTAGCTCCGCGGCGGTGTCGCGTTGTAAGACCAGCGGACGAGACACTGGAGATTCCATTAGCGGATCCAGGGGTTCCAGTGGCGTCATGAAATGCGCGAGAACACATTGCTTCGGGTCCTCGACCTCGAGAACTGACAGAGGACTTCCCGGTCTCTTCTTATCAGCGACAGGAGCGTGCTTTGAACAAACGATAGATCAAATTATAAACAAAGTAAAATTAACAGAGTACACGGGTTAATTAATTACGCGAAAAGAGAAATAATATTGTTTTATTCTTTTGGTTCTATTCCTTTATACAGATTGTTCTGCAGTTTTTTGCGACATTTAAAATCAATCTGCGCTTAATGATAACATCAAGAAACATTTCACAATGATTTATAACTTTACAATGATTTATGTATGTATGTTAATATGATATTTCGATATTTTAATTAGCAAACTTTGATTTTAAATTTCACAAAGAATAATACTGTATGTTTACTGATTCTGTAGGACACTAATTTTATAATGATATTTTTATTTTTAAAAAATATATTTTTTTTATTAACTCACTGGTACACCGGCTGGTAAAAAACGTTCGAGAGAAGCGAGAGGTATAATAAAGCAGTCGCGGTCCAAAGTGGCCAAAGAGATTGGTTCGCCTCGTGGCGGGCTGTTGCCGGAAACCACGAGAGGTGTGTAGGTACCGGAAGTACGATTTCCGCTGAAGGATACCTGCTAAAGTGATAACACAATTAGAAAATTATACTATACGTAACATCTACTGTCGTATAATTAGAGACAGAATTAGTCTTGCACATCAGTTTGTACACATTTAATATCCCGTACTATATAAA